AAATAGACAATGTTAGCTATCAAAGAGCGACGTTGTTTTTCATTGGGACCTTCGTCCCTTCAAGGCTAGGCCTATATCATCCTAGCTAGTCTAGGCCTAGAGTAGGATAAGGCTAGCGCGAAATGTGGACGTTGGTACGAGTAGGTTAGTCTACAAACGTCGCCTAAAGTAATTGATTTTACTCGGCAGAACGAAAGAAGGAAACTCCGCTTTTCAGTCGTCTTATGCACTCGTTTTTTGACAAACAATGACCTTTCAGAGGTCAAATTGCTGTCAAGAATATCAATTGGCTGCTTCGCAGCAATCATTTCCCTGCTACGAAAACATGTTCAGTTTGAACTCAAATTACGTTTCTGTACGAAACTGTAAGAAAATGAGACATAAAGAAAATGATAGTTAACAAGTTGCATAAACTATTTGTCCTAGTTATAAATGGAGATACGTGCGGAAAATATAAAATATAAGCTTTAAAACTTATCAAAAACCTATGAAAATTACAAATGATGGTGTACGAACAAACACATATAGGATCCACTTCAAATAGTCGTAACTTTTTAACGAAAAGGCGAATTTTTATGCGGTTTTTTGTAAATTATTCTTCGTAAAACTCTCTGATACAAATTTATTGAACAGCGGAAAATTGCTCTACTGGTCGTTTGTCACGAAATTATTTTCTCTACAAAGACAAAATTTTAACAACTGAGGGCGCAAGATCGTCGGAAAAGTACCCTATTGACAAAAGACAGGCAGTTAGTCCATAGAGAAAATATGGTTAGTCACAGTTCTCTTTGAAGATTCAGTACACCGCGCTTCGCTCATTGGCTGTAGATAAGTAGATAAATGTGTTGTGAAATAACAACTCCCTGGTTTAACCAACTCGGCCGTTTTACAATTTTTTTTCTAAATTTTCCGCAAGTAATTCACTATTATTATTTTTTATTCAAAGCCAATAGTGACAAATAACAGAAACATAGAAATATTTATATTGTTAATTTTTATCCAATCAACAAAAACTAAAATTACGGTAATGATATTAAACTTTGTTCTAAGAGCGTCCGATTGGGACGCAATCGTCGTTTCATAGAATAAAAATAAAACCATAGAGGGCGCAATGTATTTACCAAAAGTGAAGTAATTTTTGTTTTGTTATATTCTGCTGGAATTGAAGACGAGATTAAAGACACAAAAACACAAAATGTGAAAGTGATTACTCAATAAATAGCTTTTATCAGAAATCCGAATAAGCCTACCTGTGTCAAGAGTATTATTACTAGCTGGCATGGTGGGTTTTGACCCAAACAAAGCTAGGCAGTTGACACCATTCGACCACGCTGCTGCTGGTGCAGTGAGCGGGATAGTCACCCGGGCTGTTGCCCAGCCGCTCGATGTTCTCAAAATAAGATTCCAGGTACTGTAGGGCCTAGGCTTAGACTTTGTTGTCATTAGGGGAAATTAGGGGTGGGCGGGGGGTGGAGGAATTTTTTTTTCTCTTGTCTGGTATTTTAAACATCATTGAAGGAAAATAACATCCAGTAGTTTTAATAAAGGAACTCGTGAAAGAATAGTTTAAATCATAATCCTTCTCTCTCAAATAATATTGCAGTAATTATAACAGTATTAATTAAACTTCTGCTTTGATTGAAATGTACATTTTGTATAATATTATAAAACTATTATCTTCTCAAATAAAGTTTTTTGCAACAGTTTTAACAATATTTGCTTTACTGTACTTGTTGTTCATCCATCGATTCGAATGAAGAACACCTTGATCACAATGTGTAGTAGTGTGGTCCAGTAATTATTTTTTATCTTCGTGTGTACATTTGTAGCTGATTCGTCCAATCCTGGCTTTAAATTTGCTTCTACAATGCGAATACAGTGTCCAGCCCATCGAAGTTGATGTTTAGAGAGTATAACGTCATAGATGCTTAGCATATTATTGGCTTTTTGTTGTAGTATATCAGTATCTGGAACTTTATCTTGCCATTTGATGTACATTTTATTACATACAACGAATTAATATCATCTGTTTGTGCTTTATTCTTTTAATAAAATTTCTTTATTTGGTATTCTTCCGAAATTTATTTTATATATTCTTTTTCTTTTTCCAGCTTCAAGTGGAGCCATTGAAACTTGGTCCAGGCTCAAAATACACTGGCCTTAGGCAGGCTGTGTGCAGGATATATCAGGAAGAGGGTGTCACTGCTTTCTGGAAGGGACATGTCGCTGCCCAATCCTTGTCTGTAGTTTTTGGGATTACACAGGTAATTAAGCATTTAAATTTAATATTATTATTAAACAATATATAATGATGTTGTTATTGTTATTATGTTATTATTCTTCCATCCATTCCATTGTCGTCATCCCAGTCATTCTATCCTGACATCTTTCGGTTGTTTTTGTTTTGGAAAAATCATGTGACATGCCTAAATATGGTCATGATCACATCACATTACAACCATATACAGGCACATCATGACTATATATGGATATATGAGTTATTTTTGTCAAAGAAAATTTTAATGGTTTGGACAGCTTTAAATATTTCAAATTTATTATTTCAGTTTGTCAGCTTTGAGTTCCTAACTAAGAGTGTATTTAGCCGGCTTCCTGAAAATCTGACACAGCCCGTCTACAAACCAGTCTATCACTTTTTTTGTGGGGGTATTGCTGGGTGTGTGTCTACCTGTGTGTCGCAGCCTGTTGACGTCTTGAGAACTCGTCTTGTATCTCAGGGAGAACCAAAGGTACTTTAGTGTACAAGTTTAATATTTCTCACGTCAGCTTAAATGTGTCCCCGACAATGAATCGTGTCGGGCTGTGCGTCGTACAACGCTGTCTGAGTTGGTATTTGAGATACTGGGAATGGTGACTTGTTAAATACTGGAAAGATTTAGCATTATTTTTTTTACTATTAACCAGGGTTTTGCTGCAAAGCAGTGCTAGCCAATATATATTTTATTAAAGGTCAAATAAATATATTAAAGGTCAAATAGTATATTTAACATTAAATTCAATCAAATGTAATCATAGAATTATCTTTCTGTCTGTTATTAAAATGTAATTATTTTACAGTATGTAATTAACAGTAAAAAGCAAGTAGCAGACTAATACATATTAATACACAAGTTTCGATCACGCTATGGCTCTCATCAGGTGAGTGTGAAGAAGACCAGTGTATGCTCAAAAGGTTGTGTATTAATAAAATTGGTTAGTTTAATGTTGTGCCCTTTTTTTTACTGATTATTAATTAGACTAACTCATTCACCTTTAGGCAAGACTTTTTTTCATTTCTTGTTTCGCAAACTTATTTTACTAAAGATCGTCAGAGAAAAAAAAATGTTTGTTTTCTTATTTAGCAAATGGTTTTGCTGAAAACATCCAGACAAGACATAGAAGAAAATAAAAATACAATTTCATTGTTGACTGTAAACAGTGTATTAATGGGATGGCTAAATGCCTTAAATTTATATAATTGGGAAGAAATATACATCTATTTTTGGAGAAGCGGTTGGCGTAATAAAATTAAAGAAAACCTTTTATTGTTTTCTAAAATTTTCATTTTTTGTGGAGGCGGGTACGTCAGTTGGCCAAAAATAAAATTTTGTTTTTATTCGAAATCATCATTTATTAGCAAGAGGCAGGTTTGCTAAACAAGGTATAAAAAAAGTACAAAACTAAAATAATTCAATTTGAGTTCAAATCTTATTCCTTTAAATTTGTGTGTTATGAATCCATATTCATAATAAAAATTAAAAACTAGAATGATCAATGGTCATATATTTATATAGCGCCTTCCACAGAAAACCGTCTCAAGGCATTTTTGAAGCCACAAGGAACAAAGACAAAAGAACGCGAAAGGGGGGAATCCATTTATATAAATTATAATTTTTTTTTTTTTTTTTGTGTAGGTATACAAAGGCATCAGACATGCAGTGGGTATGATGTACAAGGAAGGTGGTATACAGACATTCTACAAGGGATTGACACCTACTATCATACAGCTGTTTCCTTACACCGGCCTTCAGTTTGGTTTCTATTCATTCTTCAAGACTGCTTGGAATTCAGCTATCTCTAAGAATAATGAAATAGGTACTGATTTAGTGTAATTTTTTATGGTATACATATTTATGTTTATGTTATTAAATCCTACAAAGAATGATCCATAACCGCAGGGTAATTGGGGCTGTGTGGACCGGTACACATGGGTAACCCCCAACTCATCTCAAAAGAAGTACCGAGTTCTTTAAAGTGCACATGAGCCAATTGTGTACACTGGGCCTACAGGTTATAGTCCTTATCCTAGAAGACTTGTTCCACCATCAGAACCATAGGTGAGTGTAGGTGTGTTCAAACCAGCGCTGATATTCTGCTGTAGGCTCCTTTATATGACTTGCCTTAACCACTCATCTTCGGCAATATGCCAACCCTGGGAAACATATCTCGGGTATTAACCCATCCTGGATAAGGCCCTATAAAAAATATTATTAGTTTATCACCCTATCTGGGCAGGAAAAGTGACGAGGGAGGGAGGGAGGCTTTTTTTTTAAATTTTTTATTTTGCTTAAACCAAATATCACCATTGGGTTGTTTGCTGGTGCATTGATATTCAAAGTAAAACATGATTTAGATAATGCAAGCAATATCTACTAATATAACTATTTAATAAAATAAATGAAAAAAAAAAATTTTTTTCAACAAAATTTTTTTTTCCCAGTACCATAGAAGACATGAGCGTGCAGGTGATAAACTAATAATTTTTTTATTGGGCCTAAGCTGACCCTTGGAAACCCATATCGGGTATAAACCCATCAGCTGTGTTTTAACCTAGTGAAAACCACCTCATGTATAAACCCGTCCTGGATAATAAACTGAACTGGAAAACCTACATGTACATACACGCCCCAACTTTAAAATAAATTTTTTTGCAAAGTCTTCTTCCTAAAGTATAAGCCAAGCCCCTAATTTTTCTATGAATGTTCAAATTGAAGGTCATACAGGGAGTCGCACAGCCTTTTAGCAACAGTTTTTGCATCTTCCAGGCAGTAATGCCAAATGATCTATGTAACATCAATGATACTTTTAGACTACTTTATGTTACTTATTTTTAGCATACTGTGATGTTTTACAGTAGTTCACATATGTTTACCTTTAATCTGCAGGTTCCATTGCAAGTGGGTTGTGTGGATCCGCAGCCGGGTTCTGTTCCAAGATCACAGTCTACCCACTCGACCTTATCAAGAAAAGACTGCAAGTGCAAGGATTTGAAGAGGCCCGTAAGTCCTTTGGTTCTGTTCAGAAGTGTTCTAGTCTGTTAGATTGCATATGCTCCATAGCTAGGCATGAGGGCTTAGGTGCATTCTATAAGGGACTGTCACCGAGCCTGCTCAAGGCTGTTGTTACTGCTGGCCTTACATTCTCAGTATATGAACAAACTTGTGCAATATTGTCTTATCGACATGGCAGTTGACAGCGCTCATTTTAAAACATTTACTGCAATTTTTCCCCAACCAAAACATGCACATTTCCATCAGCGCAGAGTATTATGCATAAAAACTATTTAATAACTGTTACATATATTGCCATAAATTATTTTTTGTATTTATAAATATAAGTATAAACAATATAATTATCAGGTGAATGCGTATGGAACTTGCCTTCCGTGGGAACCAGTTTTTGAATTTTGGATTTTGAGGTATTTATCTTTCTAGAATGTCTTTTTCTAAATTTGTTGTTTAAGAAAAAAAAACTGTTATCGGAATTATAAGATTGTGTGTTTGTGTGAGTGATGTTGCATGATCTGTTCATTTGTTTTTGTTTTGTTCAGATGTTTATCTTCGATATATTTTATTGCTGGGATAATTGGAGGACTAGGGATTAATTATCCCTGAGAAATTCTCCATGGTAAAGAATAAAACTAACAAATAAACAAACCCCCACGGTGCAACTTGTCTAGAATTGGTAGTGCAGTACCTTTGTGTTGACCATAAACTGTCCCCAATTATTTTTTTTTTTGGCGCAATGCAATGAATTCTCTTTAATGTAAGTATAATACCTGTTATTTCAATTTTGCGTCAGGCAAATACCATACGAGTGATATTTTGCCCTACCTGACCGAACACTCAGTACGTTCCCAAATACTTTAAAAAAAAGTTTACAAATGTCCCCATTCGCAAAATTCTCGCCCAAATCACTTGCAAATTTTTTTTGCAAGTATTTTAGGACGTACTGAATATTGGGTATAACATGTTAGGTAGGGCAAAACATCACTAGTACTATAATACCTACCATTCAATATTCATCAAAATTGCTGGTTTTTAGGAACTTAGCAAACTACAGTATCATCTGTTGATATTCTTTGGATTGTGCCTAATAATATACAGTTTTTTATTGTAATGTATGCAGGATTACATTGTAAGAATTAGTTGTGCTAGGGGTTGTAGAGGGAAAATTAACACTGTGTGTGTTCGAATGGATAAATTTACAGTAGAACCCCTATTAAGGGGACACCTTTGTGACTAAAAAAAGTGTCCCCTGAATAGGGGTTGGCTGTAGTGTTAAAATATGTACCTTCCCATGTTTCATGGCTGAAAAAGTGTCCCCTTAATTAGGAGTCTCCCCTTAATAGGGGTGTCCCGAAGGAGGGTTCTACTGTATACCTGTATGCTAAGAATAAGAGACTTGGTTTAAAAGCATTGCTCCATCCTGTAAGTGGCAATTGTACTTGCTGTGGGATGTGAAGGAAATAAAAATAAAAATTTTAATTTGCATGTCAAATCATCAAGAAAAAAAATGATTGAATTATCATCTTGGGAAGCAATTCAAATTGTATTTAATTGTTAATTTTTTTGTGTAAATTTACATTCAAATGCATTTAAAATGTACTGTACCTATGAAAGTTTATGCAAATTATAGTTTTATAAATATATTTATTGCCCTACCTCATAGTGGGTTTTTATTGTATTTATTATATCACACAGTGAGTTTGAATGGTGTGTATAAACGTACCACACATTAAATATTGTATTAAAATATCAATTGTTAAAAGCTATGAAAATAGATAAGGATGTAGTTCGTAAAATTTTACTGTAAAATTAGTTTTTTAAAAATTAACTGATTGTAAACTTTCAAATAATGCAGTGCATAGCATTAAATATCAAAACATATTTGGATTATTTAAATATGTGTTGTTGTTTTATTTATTTTTTATTGTATTTCTTTAAAACCAACAAACAAGGATAATTCAGAGCTTAATACTACAAGCTGGTTTGATTTAAGGAGAATTGGATTTGGAAATTATTTAATTTATATTTTATAATTATATATATCAAACCACCAATAAAATATTGGCAGTGGCTCTTATTACACCAGTTTTAAACCAAGTCATAATTCTGATTGGATATTGTTATGGTCCTAATCTATAACATCCAATCAGAATAAACCAGAAGGTTTAAAAGTTGGTGTAATAATGGCCAGTCTTAAACCAAGTCATAATTCTGATTGGATATTGTTATGGTCCTAGTCTATAACATCCAATCAGAATAAACCAGAAGGTTTAAAAGTTGGTGTAATAATAGCCGCTGCCTAAAGTATTACCACCCAGTCTTGTTTTAATGAAATAAGTTTTAATTTTTAATTTAAAAGGGAGTAATTTATCACAAAGGAAAGTTACAGATCAAAATAATAGATATACTGTAGTACAATATTTAAAAAAGAATAAAAACATTTTAAAAAAGAATTAAAACATTATAAAAATTATAGTACTGTATTTAAAATATTTTCACTATTTTGTATTATATAAACAAACAAAATATGCACAAATCCTATAGCAATGATTAATGTTGAATGTCAATAGAGTTTTCACAAGCTTACGATAACGAATACATTTACGTCATCAGTTTTTTAGAGAACCCGTACCTACATTTGCATATTTGTCACAACGAAGGGGGATTCATGCCTTTCGAATAAATCATATTCAGTTCCATCAGCATATTCTGAAGAATTTTTTATGCACGAATGACTATAATGATAATAACGTATTCATATTTGTTGTTTTCGCAAGGTTGCAAAATCTCCTTATCTAATTTTGTAAATGCAACATATTTTTCATAGTTTATTTGTTAATTATTTATTAAAAAATTTACATCGCAAGCACAATTATAGTTGTTTTTTTGTCTTATTATTTTTTAGCTTGTAGTAGACATGTTAAATCTATTCTCTATACTGAAATTATTACCTGTACATGATTTCTCCGTATTGATTTTGATTGTAATGTTGAGAATACAATTAGTTACATCTGGATTTGCCTAATGAATATGTAAAAGGTTCTAATTCAGAAAAGGAGCATACGGTTAGAGCCAATCGATCAAACAGTATTGTTGTTCCTTCCATCCGAGGTAAATGGTATCTTCTCAAGAACTATATTTTCAGAAAGTATAAAAATTAGCTAGTAGTACATTAGGCCTACTTCCATTGCACTTTTGGCAGGTTTGATGCTAAACAAAGTAACCCCTCCCATGTATGCATTGCTATACCACGGTATCGATTGAAGTTTTTTTTGCCTCAGCCCTCTAGGAGCCATATACATTTGAACTCGCTGAAGTCGAATCCAAAATGGCATTGAAAAACTGTTCTACTTTAAGTAGAACAGTTTCGAATTTGGCTTACAGATCGTTAATTAATGGGAAACAACAATTTGGCATGTAAAATAAGATCAACTTAGAAATTATTTGACTTTTAGGCAAGTCAACTTAGGAAATTTTAACTGTACTATACGTTTCAAATGATAGTCATCTTCCTTGCATTTACATTCCCATCTCTCCATCTTCAGATGCTATCAATCTGTTCTGATCGTCACCTGACTCTGCGACCTTTGACACTTCTTCCTCAGTGGTCGCCAGGAACAGACTATCAGGTCCGACCATATTTGCTCAGCTTCCTCTTTTCTACCAACTTCATAAGTTACCCTTGTGGCTTTCGAATTGTTTCCCTTTTCTATTAATTTGTGTTTCAATTAAAGTATTCCAGTAAGAAATATAGATTTGACGATTTTATAGAAAAGTAGATGGCAGCCATTGAATGAAATTTCTGAGTAAAAAATTTGCATAATTAACAGACAGTATACAAGTCTGGTTAATGCCCTTTTATTTTTTTTAATTTTTTTTTAAGTGGCTCATAAAAATATTTAATGGAGGAAGTTTCATCTTCAAGAAAGAAAAACATATTTTTAATTTCCTGTTTACTTTTATCCAGACATTTTTTTTAAAAACCAAAACATGTTTTAAAGCCCTGTTGAAACTATCGAATTTTATTTGACAAACAACTATTGTATGCCCATATATGGTCATGATGTGATGTCATCATGACTACAAAAAACTGTTGCATGCCCATATATAGTCATGATGTGCCTATATATGGTCATCATGATGTGATGTCATTTGACCGTATTTATCATGTCACATGTTTTTGTCAAATAAATGTTAGTACTTGTCCGGTATTTTTAAGAGCTGAGTAATTATTTTATAGGCAGCTAATTTTAGTTTCAGTTCAGTTGTTGTTATATGTCTTGTCTTTTGTTTTCAGTTCCTTCTGTTTACCATCATACTGTATTGTGGTTTTTACCTTGTTATTTTTGGAGGAACCTTCAAAAGTCTTGTTTTGCACTGTTGAAAAAATAGTGTGTTCTCCGAATTAATTACCTATCATCCCAAAATAGTTCATTTTTATTGTCAATCGAAAAGCATAACACATCCTGTTGTACTGTAGTTTCCAACATTACATCAATCATTAACCTTTAAACCCCTTTATACCAAAGGAATTCTTCATTTTTCTGGTTCATGGCAAACTCCCTGTTGGGACACCTAATGCCCAACTCGGACAACGCATTCTGACGCGATTTGTTTTTGTGCCAGGTCTTTATGAGTTATAAAGTTGACACGATAGGTTTGTATTTGGGACGCGCGTTATAGAATATTATATATAATATTTAATACAACGGCCTAAAGACTGTCCCTGACAATAAATCACGTCGGGGTGTGTCGTACGACGCTGTCCGTGCTTTCCTTTAGGGTATGAATTCACAGGTGACATTTACGTGCCCTTCAAATTGTTTTATTTTTTTATATCATTCAAAGCCTGTTCTCTGATTAAAAAAAATAGGTTGATTGAATAGGTAAACGTGATATCCTTGAATAATTTCTAAAGAGCAGCTGCCATACCTCCTATTAAATCTTGTTATAGTCTATGTGCTGTAAAATCCATGCTTATCTCAGATCTGCCAAGTGTCTCGCATTCAGCGTGAAAAGCACGCAGCAAGTTTTTGTCCCGCTGTCCCGCCCAAGATTTGTAAAATGTAGTTAACACTATCGCATTTCTTTACTGCATAGGTTCATGCATATGATAGGAGTGGAATGTTACACTTTATACTCTTGTATTCTAAAAATGATTGAACTAGATCACAGGTTGGCAAAGTGCAGTCCACCAGGGATTTTTTTGTAGTCCGTGAAAATGAATTAAAAAACCCTATGTGTGCAGCCTGCTAAGCAACATTGCCTAGAAAACACCTTGTTTTTTATGGCCCGACATCAATCATATGTAAGAAGTAAAAGTCAAATTAAAACTGAGAATGAATTGGTGTAAAAGCAGTTCTTGGAGGTTTTTGGAAGCACACTGGAAACAACAAAGTTTGGGTGCAGCCCTCGGCGTTAAATCAAAACTTCACTTTGGCCTCTGACTGATTTTTATGCCCATCCTTGAACTAGATGAAATGGATTTCCTAAAATGGTAATTTTGTTTCCCTATCTCCCACACCTATTCAATGCGTGAATCTTTATGAGGTTTACGGAGTGTAGTTGTTTTTTGTTTTTTTCCTCCTGTGTGTTGGGGTTAAACCCAGGGCCTTGAGATTAAACAGCAAGCACCTTAACCACTAAGCCATTTGACTTCACTCATTGTATATTCTGCATATGAGTATAATATGTGGTGAAAACAAGCCAAGCCATTCATTCACTCCTTGCAAATCGTGTTTCAGATATAATGGCCAAAATATTTTGGAATTTTAAAATTTTCGAAATCTATTTTATTGCATTAAACTAAACTTTGCATATATATATCTATACATCATGCTATGTTGTTAGTTTCCCATTTTCCACGTAAAAACAAATTTTATTAACAATTTGGTGATGGCCTCTACCTGAGAAATGCCCGAAATTGTAAACTTTGAAGGCTGATTTTTCAAATATTGTTAGCTGTATGTTTGAACTCCTGTAACTTTATAATGAAATGTCAGATTTAAATGATTCCTTTACCATTTTGTAACTTTCATTTTACTACTTAACCCTGTACTAATTCCTAAAAATCAATTTTTTTGCAAGTAGTGACTAGTTTGGCTTGTCTTTGTCACATATCATAACTTTTTATTTTTTATTTTAATGTTTTTAAGTTCCTAGGTTGGTAGTTAGATCAGTGTATTTAATAAGTAAATGGACGGATTTTTGCATTATCTAATTTGTTTACCAACTTCAAATATTAAATATATTGTATATGGACTCCACCTGTGAAACCAGAACATGGAATAGTTGTCAATACTCACTTATTACAGTATATCTATCTATATTAAGTTAGAGTATCAGTGTATGAGTATCATTATGTAAACAGAAATGCCTGATAAAACACTTAACTGGTATCCAACAAAAGTATTGTTAAACCGCAGGTTGTGATCAAACACCACTGATGAAAGCAGAACTTATAAATAGTTATCGAGTATTTACTCATCGGTGTCGAGTTGCTATATCAGTGATAGTATTTATGTAAACAATAAAGCCGAA